TCCCCCGTCGTCCTTGAGCAACTCGGTTTCGAGTTCGTTGCCCAAAGAGACCCCGACGAAGATTCCCCGTATCTCTAGTCGGACATCCACGGTCGGTTCCCCGTTGCAAAAGAGTGCCGTCGGCCGCCGGACCAGTGTTAATGTCAGCGGATTGTCGTCGTCAACCAACCCATCCCCGAACGGCATGTCAACGAACGAATTCGGGGTCATGGAAGAAAGCGAGGACAACCATGGAGCAAAGACTGTTACCGGTCCTACCCGAACCGCATCGGTTCGTGGGTCTCCTGCGACGGTGTCCACTTCACGCGTTCCTCGACAATCGACTGCCGCCACGGCTTCATCCTCGTCCAGTCTTCTGAATCGAAAATCAACTCGGGATTCTATATCCTTCGCTGGTCTTCGCAAATCCTCCACCAGTTCGGCAACTTCTTCGTCCACCGCTGCTGCGGCCGCCGAATCATCGACTACTCATCACCGATTTTCTGCTCTTTCGCCTTCTAGGGGACTGAATAAGCTTCTCAGTCCAAAGATTGGGTCGGCACGCGCTTCCAACTCGACCTCGAGCATTCAACAGATTGCCAACTCGCCATCTTCGAGTCGTCAATCGTTGTCTACGCAGTCTCCGTCACCCGCGCCGAGCTCCATTGACGATGAAGAGGCTCAAGGCGACGAAGAGATGATGCATTATATTCGCCGCCAGCAGGCCAAGAAGATGGCGGCAGGGGCAACGCAAGAGGATCTCGACGAATTGTTGAATTTCCCTGAGCCCTTACCACCTGGCACTCCTTCTACCCCGCAAGGTTGGTCGTTTTTCATTCCCCTCCTGTGGTATCAACGGTTAATAATAATCTTTCAGCCATCCTTAGAAGTTCCCAGAATCAGTACCTCTCTGAATTTGAACGCAAAGAAATCCTCGATTTCCCCGCTGTCTATTGCATCGGTGCGAAAAGTAAGAAGAAGCCTGCGGTGTTGGACAACCCGACCAACAATTATGGGTACGACGACGATCGAGGCGACTATCTTGTCGTCAATCACGACCATCTCGCATACCGGTACGAGGTCATCGACACCTTGGGGAAGGGCTCGTTCGGACAAGTACTGCATTGTCGGGATCACTGCACCGGGGAGTCAGTTGCAATCAAGATAATCCGGAACAAGAAGCGATTCCACCACCAAGCATTGGTGGAAATCAAGATCCTTGATAACCTGCGGAAATGGGCAAGTGTTTCTTTGGGCTACTAGACCACTTGTTCACCTTGGTTTTTCAGGACGCGGAAGAGAAACACCATGTCATCAAGATGACTGAACATTTTCACTTCAGGAGCCACTTATGCATCGCGATGGAACTCCTCAGCATTAATCTTTACGAGCTTATCAAAGCTAACGGTTTCGTTGGCTTCACGACTGCCTTGATCAGGCGCTTTACGAGCCAGATGCTGATGTCCCTCTCTTTGATGCGTCATCATCGTATCGTCCACTGCGATCTCAAACCAGAGGTCGGTATTTCGTGTTGTATAGTTCTTTCCGTTTTCTGAAGGTGGCACCAGAACGTGCTTCTACGTCACCCTGCGAAGAGTGCACTCAAGGTTATTGATTTTGGCAGCAGCTGTCTCGAACACGAGAAAAGTCCGTTGTTGTTGGTGATTAGGCCGAACGCTAGCTAACCAGAGTCTTTAGTCTATACTTACATCCAGAGCCGTTTCTACCGGTCCCCCGAAGTCATTCTCGGCATGAACTACCATATGGCCATCGACATGTGGAGTTTGGGTTGCATTTTGGCGGAGCTATACACAGGCTTCCCCATATTTCCCGGCGAAAACGAACAAGAGCAGCTCTCCTGCATCATGGAGGTCCTCGGGATTCCCGACAAGGAGTTTGTCAATCGGAGTTCACGAAAGAAACTCTTTTTTGGTGCGTCCAATTTCCTCATTGCTTGAGCTGCCACCGACTGACACGATTCATCCACAGATCCCAATGGAGCCCCGCGTGCGGTGATCAACTCCAAGGGTCGCGGAGGCGGCCTGGAACCAAGACGCTCGCGCAAGTTCTGAGATGTAACGACGAAGATTTCATCGACTTCATTGCAAAATGTCTCGTCTGGGATCCCGAGCGAAGAATCAAACCCCAGGCGGCCTTGAGACATCCGTTTGTGACGGCGGGGAAGCGCCCTAAACCACCTCCACCGTCTATAACACCGAAGGCGACCCTCTCGTCGTCGACATTGGGGAGCAGCAGCCGCGTCAAGCACGTGCTGGAGACACCGAAGAAATCACTCATCAGTGCTCCGACACCCCTCACTGCGCGAACAACCCGAACCACTGGGAACGGTCCGACGACTCCAAGCACCTCGTCGCAGCCTTCGACGCTTGGATCATCGCGGTCGTATCGAACGACTCAGGGACAAAGTCTCTCGACATACCACTCGAGCCGGACATTGAATGGAATTGCTGTGAGTTGTGATACTACCCTAGCTGCGGGACGACGCTGATTTGTGGTACAGACGACGGCTGGGAAATGAGCTATATATTTGGGGCGTTTCATCATTCTTGACGATGCTGAGGAGTTGGCTGTTAGACGACTAATTCATTTAAAAGTCCTGGCGCATACCCGGTCTGCTGTATTCTCATTATTTGCTTCTCTTGTTGTCGTTGTCCTTTCTTTAGCACGTACCTTAATTCTGCAATACGCATTTCTGGATGATGGATCCTTGGTGTCTTGATGATTGCGAGGTACAAGGAGAAAACAGGGCTTGTCCATAAGCAGACAGTCGGAGGTCATCGTCAGCTCTTGCTTCCGTTCCGCGACCACCGTCGTTCTTTTGCACTTGTGGCGTTGCTCCAGCTGCATGTTTTGTTTGCCCACCCACCCTCACCAGTAATTTTGTTTCAGCAGGAAGATCCTATATTTCACGTAGCTATTTACTGAGTGTGTCGACTCTGACTATGGAAAGGGCGTTCGCCCAGTCTCAATCATCGATACATACCGCAGACGTAGCGCCATGCGCAAACCCAGCGCACAGCTTTCAGCTTGTGCTTCGCCTCATATGTTCAGATCTTGTATTCGTACTTATACCACCTGGGCGCCCCCGCCCACTTCCGCACACCTTACACAGCTCCTTCAAAGATATGCCTCGTCTCCTCCGCTTTCACTCGACCTTGGCACCCTTCTATCTTTTGGTCGTCCTGTAAATCGTACTTCTCTCAAGTTCCAGCCAAGCTGATGCGTTGCTACAAGGTAACTCCCACCTCGGTCCTCTCGTCCGTGAATTTTGCATTGGCCGAGATACCCCGGCGACTGGCAAAGCGCGTTCGCTCGCTGGAGGCACTACCTTTCATAGTTGGAACCAATCCTTACGTCGCGAACACACTCAATGCGTACAGGGACAGCTTCGAGCTTCTCACCACGTTAGCAACTTTCATTCTGGGAGTGGTAGGAAGTTCAATCTGTGTCTGCAGTTTTCCCGCTGTATCTACCCTTGAGGAAAACAAAAAGTTCACAGAGCAACTTGAGGACCTCGTACACCGACACGCCAACGACATCCCAACCATGGCAAAAGGGTTCGTTCGTTCCTTTCGTCCTCTGAGCTCAATCGACCCGCGATATTTCAGATTTCTAGAGTGCGCAAAATACATGTCTCCGACGCAAGTTAGCAACTTTCTGGACGGCATGATCCGCAACCGCATTTCCGTACGTCTCATCGCTGAGCAGCACATTGCAATTTCGCGTGCGTTGGAAGACGCCGTAGGGCCGGTTGGTAATGTTGGCGTTGTGGACATGCAGTGCTCCCCGTCGCAGATGATTCGGATGTGTGAGTCGTACGTTGCGGAGCTGTGTTCCGCGACGCTAGGCGCCAGCCCGTCGATCATAATCGATGGTGAACCAGACGCGACTTTCGGGTAATCATGCTGTTACCTTCTCTCGCGTCTTACACGAACCTTTTTGCAGATATGTTCCGGTCCACCTCGAGTATATCCTCACGGAAATTCTAAAAAACTCATTCCGAGCGACGGTCGAGTTCCACAAAGCGCGCGCGCTGCCTCCTGTGCGCATAACGTTATCTCGGCCCTCCACCGGTCCAAACTTCCTCTCGATACGGATCAGAGATGAGGGCGGTGGTGTATCCCCGAGCAATATGGCCCGGATTTTCTCTTACGCTTTCACCACTGCAAAAAGCAGTGATGACCATGACTTGGACGGGGGTGGTGGGCCATACGCTGCCCAACATGTTGGGGGACTGGCTAACATCGGCGGTGGCGATACTAATTTATTCAGCGAGATTACTTCTAAAGGTTTACAAACCGGTCTCGGATCTATTGCTGGACTTGGTTATGGTGTGTCAGAGCTCCATAATTTTCCTAGCTTTCTGAGTAGATCCCAGGGTTACCCATGAGCAAACTATACGCACAGTATGTTTGCGGTCTTTGACTGGTCTTTGTAGGCGAACTGACCAACACGTTCACCGGAAGGTATTTCGGGGGTTCGTTGGATCTTATGTCGCTCGAGGGGTGGGGTAGGCAGAGTTCATCATCCCTGCGCTGAAGTGATACTCAATTCCAGAATTCAGGCAGCGACGTGTTTCTTAAACTTCGGTGCTTGAATGAGGCTGGGGACTCCACTATTTGAGAAGATAATTCTAATGTACATTCTCCGCTAATAAACAGGTGTGAGCGTCGCCGCGTGTGCAACCGTCCTTGCAAATATATGCACCAGTGACGACGACAACTAGAAAGACATCGTCACTGAGCCGCCGAGCACCTCGCCCCAGAAAGAAGACAATGAGTACGGCCTCCGGGGAGCTCTAGTCTTTTATTGTCCATCTCCGAGTCCCTGAATCGACCTCGAAATCAAAAAAGAAAACGGAACCCTTCACTAAACATTAGAAAGCTTTGTTTTGAAAAAATCACATCACTGCTCTGAAACTCTGCGAGAACTGCAATCGGGGAATGAGAACTCAAGTGGGTAATCGACCCGTTGATGTCAAGCTGAGGACAGGATGTTGTGGGCGTATGGTGTAGTGGTATCACTCATGCTTTGCACCAGCTACATGTTCGTCTCATGTGGCACCTTTGTATGCGGTCCAGGGTTCAAACCCCTGTGCGTCCAACTCTTTTTGGCTTTTCCTCATGCCGTGCGCCTGAACTGTTCATAGTTTGTTCCTTGCAGTCTTCACCATTTGGATTTTGAGGCTGACCAGCAGCGTAACGCTCTCGAATATACAATTCATTCTTCCTACTTATGAGCGACCCTCCATGCGCTTATCTTGAAATTTGTGGCCATGGTCCACAAGCCAGTCGGGCTCAATCTCCGTAATAATTCGAATCCTGTATTAACAGTTGAAATGAAGTATATTTCCCAAGATCAATGAGCGTACTGAGTCTTTTTTGTCTCTTCCATCTCGTGGAAGATCACCCAACCAGAACGAGGTTTTCGTGTGAAGAGGACCGAAGTTGGGTGCACATGCAGTGTCTGCGGTGGTGTCATTGTCTATCTTGAGCAATAAACGACCTGGTCGCACCCGATTCCCTCTCACAGACCGATACGTGCCGTCGGCTACCCACCTAGCCCCGTTGCGCCAATAGCCGCTCACGAGACATCGGCGCAGTCGTTTTGCGTCCCCCTCACAGCTTTCGGTGGGCAGGTTGAAACGTTGCATGTATTTTTTGAGCTGAGCGCGAATCGAAACCACACGCGACATGGCGCGGAAGGATAGCGCGTGTGATTTGCACCAACCCGAAGAGCGGCCGTATCTTGTGAAGGCATTGTATGCTGAAATGATATTAGAAAAGCAACTGAATCGTGGTCAATACATACCATTTAGCAATGTAAGATGGTCCTGCCCGCCAGTCAGCTAGCCAATTACGGTTGGAAAGCAACGAAATCACTTGCCCCCTCTTCGGCCGTAAATTTTCGCCGTTCAAGCTCAGCTAATGCACCTTGAGCCCCATCCGGAATGACAAAAACATCCTGTTTACATCATCAGAGTAGCGGCACAAAAGGACAAGGATAAAAACCTGGACAGAGGTCATTGCGGCGATTGTCAATATCTCCTCGCCACACTTGAGTTCCTTCGAATTGAATAACTAGACCGGCTCTCAGCTACAACAGTTGCAATATATAGGCACTGACCATTCGCGCAATACCCACTTCAACGGGGCACTCTGCAACCTGCTCTCCTATAATGGTCAGCCGACCATCCTCACCTATCATCCCTGCGGCTACAAGACCTTCCAGTGCTCTCAGGACACTTTCGGCTGGGGGAGCAGAAACCCATTCAAATTTCATGAGATCATCTATACCGAGCGACTTGAGCTGTAGTATTGGAGTCGTCATGTCCGTCCGGGTGATTTCAGGTGGAGTCGAGAGGGGGAGTGCATCGAATGCAAATATCGGATAAAGGCGATAGCAGACCCCGGGAGAAGTACGTCCAGCTCGGCCAGCCCGCTGCGTAGCCGACGCTACGGATGTCGGGACCGTAGCCAGAGACGCAAGTGCAGTCGTCGGATTATACACTCGAATCTGAAACGTAAATTACACCGAGTGAGCTAAACGGTGGACAGACAGCACTGACCTTGACAAAGCCACAGTCAACCACGAACTTGATTCCGTCAATAGTCACACTCGCCTAGAATAGGGTTTTACCCGCTGTTTTGCGAACGATATGACATGAAATTCACTTCTGCAATATTGGTGGATATGATGACCTTGCGGGTGCCGCGAGCTGCAGGTTCAAACACTCGTAGTTGTTCATCCGTCGACAAACCAGCATGCAGGGCCAACGGTACGAGGCGGGAGGCGTTTTTGGGTAACCTATGAGAAAAGAACGTGAGAACAACAAAAAATTCAGCAGCAAATTTACCAACGTCGGCAACAAATCTGAAAATTCCTCGAGGCATCTTTCAATATCTTCTCGGCCCGTCAAAAACACCAAGATGTCGCCGGGACCTTGCTGCGGGGACGTCAAATAAGAGATACGGACAAGGTATCCACCCTCTACCTGCAGATTAATGTTCCATGCCACTTCAGCCGCTTTTCGAACGTAGTCCGGAGCAGGTTCTTGCAAATATGCCACCTCGACGGGATACATTCTACCTTCGAGACTAACAATAGTCGCTTCCTCAGGCGAAGTGGAGCTTGTAAAGTAATCGAGAAAAGAAGTGGCATCGAGGGTCGCAGATGAGACGATCAGTCGGAGCGACGGACGTTTCCTCCGTATTCTGGTGAATGTAAGTCAGGTTCTGGCTAGCTGAATGTCGTACTTTTTCAAGACGCCGAGGAGCAGATCAGTATACACGCTGCGTTCGTGGGCCTCGTCAATCTTTGTGAAACTGAGTGAGACGAAAGATGACAACCAACTGCTCGTAACTCGCCATAATCACGCTGTATCGACTCAGCAGAGGATCGACCAGGGTTTCGCGAAAGAGCATCCCGTCCGTCATGTACAGTATCCGGGTTCTTTCCTTGTCGCTGACGTCTTCGAAACGGATAGTATAGCCAACCTAATAACGATATAGGGTAGGTCGTAAAATTGGCGAGTATGTTACCTCATCTCCAAGGATAGAACCAACTTCAGATGCTACTCGCCCGGCGACTGAGGTGGCGGCAACGCGACGAGGTTGAGTACAAGCGATAATGTTGCCATTCTCCGCCCAACCGGATTCCATGAGATATTGCGGTATCTCTAAGACATAGTCAGATGCGGCGAGATACACGAGCGCGAATGTTTACGAGTGGTCTTGCCGCAGCCTGTCTGACCGACGACAATTATGACCCCATGCTTCTCAATAGAATAGAGAAGTTTGTCGCCTGAAATGAGACAGTTTAAGAGGAGGTTCGACGGAGAGCAGGATACGTGCGATGCTTGAAGATGGGCAGACGTTCACGCTGACTCTGGATGGAGAGAGAAGAGATGGCAGAAGGAACAGCATAATCCTCTGCTTCCGTTTCTCGGTCAAGGCTGCTTCCAGGGGCTGTGGTACCAGGTTTCCAAAACTGCATGGACATTGTCGTGTTGGTTGCGAGCAAGAATAGTCAACTATGAACAAACACGAACTGCTTTGCCGCTGGGCTAAGGAAGGCAACGTGATCGCGTTTTACCGTCCATTAAATAATTTTCAAGGTCCTCGTTGCCCGCGATAAAAATGAATTACAAGTAGCAATATTTCAGTAACCTCCTCGTCCCCGCCCACCACCACCCCCGAGCGCGAAATCCAGACCCGCCCCGACTGAATCCGGGACCTCCTCTGCCTCGGTCAAACCCACCCCTCGACCCACCCCGGCCGCCTCGAGGACCACCTCTTGAACCACCGAAACCACCTCGTCCACCGGGTGCCCCCCGTCCCCCACGTCCAGGTGCTCCCCGTCCACGTCCGCCGCGTTCTAGTGACAGGTTAGCTCATATCGGTCGCTTGTGTTGTGCAATGCTCACTGGTGACACCTGGGATTTTTTCCAATGATCAGCCGCTCGCGTTAGCATATACAAAGACACAACGCACCTCCGACAACTTTTGGTTTCGGTAGAAATCGGTCTATTGGGAGGAGCTTGTCTCCGCCAATATAGACTTTGTCCCCTTTTTTGAAGCTACTCGCGACCATCCCGTCTCCCATTTTTATTGAAAAGTAAACTTCATTTATTGGGCCCAGGATTTCGTCGACTTTGCCGATGACAGATTTATTTTGCAAGTAGATCGGCGCATTGAAGTACGGGACTTTGTCGGGCATGAGTGAGGAGCATAGCATTTCATCCTCGACGGCGTGAACAAAAGTGCCCATCTCTGGTGAACGGCATAAGCGCAGGAGACGAGGATAAAATTTTCTGAAGCACCTAAAACGGTGTCTGGTGGCCCAAAATCGCGTTGTTGGAAGCCACCCCGCGCACCGCCGCGGCCTGCAAATATAAGAGCATATTCAAGGCTCACAGTCGTATCATACCTCCACCGCGGCCAAAGCCTCCTCGAGATCCGCCTCGGTTCATGACAGAATATTTATTCTTTGGCTCTGGTTGGCATGGCCTTCCACCGGTTACTTTTCTCTACTTAGTATGAGTTTGTTCAACCCTCGACCCCCCGTCGAGGCGCTCTTCAAATTCAAATCTGCTCCAGAACATCGTGGTTCTGACGTCGCATTGGTCGGGAAGCACTTGTGGGGCTTGCTGTGTCCAGGGAACACTTCTCCACAACTCTACGTTTCCGCAACTTCCAACCACCATACCGCGAGCCGTGGCCTCTCCGCGGTATCATTTCGGGCTGTTTTTGACGAGCAGGTATGATCATCGTCTGTTCGATTGTCAACAGAATAATAAAGCATTCCCTCAGACTGAACATTTGGCTGTCCCTCCAACCTGGTCAACCCTGTACCCGCGTGTTTTCCCTCTGAATGCTCTATCTGTCGCCGTCAAAGTCCTTCAGCCCATACTTATTACTGAGCTCATCGTAACCGCTCTATCACTAGAAGCGTATGAAGTCGATCCCAACGCGCTGGACTCCTGGCTTTGCGACCAGCGTATCTTGCGACAGGGAGATGTATGCACATTCACTCTAGATTCGTTGGTAAATGGGATTGGTCCATACACCAGCAGTATTCCGTTGCAGTACCGTTTAGACATGCTTGAACCTGTCATTCAAGGATACGCCCAGAAGGGAGAAACAAAATTTATCCTGACTCTCGACACTTCGTCGCAGCCTGATGAAACAGATGGCGACGATGCGGAGGGCTTTGAAATCGACGAAGACTTTTTGGCCCCTGCGATGCTTGACTCGTCGCAGGTGATGTTGAACCCAACGAACGACAATAAGCCAATCACATTCGAATGCCAGTCGTTGGTGGAATCAAGGTCTTCCCCATACGAAGATTGTACACTTTACTTGCGCACTATAGACCTCGGTCGAGTGGGGGCCTTGAACGGAGATTGGGTGAGTTCTACCCCCCCGGATTCCGCTAACGTTAAACAAATTCACAGCTTGTTGTGCAATCTTGTGGCTCTAGCAATCGTAGACTTGTTCGTGTCATCGCAGATGGTTCCCTTGTAACGTCCAAGTATGCAAACTTTACTGCGTTTCACTCGACCCTTATGGATTCTCAAGCGGCATCGTTCAGGCTTCTCCTGT